TCAAATAAATAATCACAGCTCTACTCATGCACTTATTTGCTTTTCAAGTCCTTCTGAAGCAGTATTCCCACTCATTTTACCTTTGGTCCATCATCCTGGATCTGGATATGCCATCACCTCCGGCGACGCTTTTCTGTAATTGATTATTTTGTATTTTAGCACATGACTGCATTTGTGGTTTGTTTTTATTCTAATGTGTGCAAAACAAAGCAGTTTATTCAGTCCATATTGAAAAGAACATACAGACTCCCCAGCAATCATTTTCAGGTTGATATTACAGTCCTTGAACATTGGCCAGATTTGAAAAAACGCTCATTGCTTTTTTTCCTGGAAATGCTTTGCTATAAGGCATAACTGCATCAAATCTTTCTTAGAACAACCACTTTAAATCTACGCAAGAGCCACATTCACTTCTGTGCACGTGAGCCCCACGTTGGTGCTGATGCCTCAGCTTTTGCACGGTTTTCAGACAGGTTTATGCTATTCACCACAGAACGTTATCTCCCCATGAGATCAGAGGAAAAAATCCACAGAAATTAAAAACTTTGGAGGAATCAGGCTTTCTCCAACATAGGACCTATTTTTGAAGACATTACAAAAATAATAATAATAATTATAATAATAATAAATAAAAATAATAATAATAAAAAAAAAAGCAAGCAGAATTCACTTTTTAAAAAGTCTTATTCTGCTGCTACTTGGAAAAAGTGTAACTCTACAGTTCAGCGATGGGCTCGAAGCCAGGCAAGACCAGACTGAAACAAACTGTTCTACAGATATGAAGATGCATATCTTAAATCATATTTATTTTTACCCACTTTCAATCCTCAGTTTACATACCTCTGCAGCACTACTCAAAATCTCATCTGCTTCATCCTGCTCCAATGCAATGCCTAGCTTCTGATCTGAAAAATGCAATTACATAATTATATAATACAACTTAGAGGATCATGAAACGTGAACTAAATGAAGCTGGCTGTCAATCAGAAAGAGGCAAATTTGTTCCGAGCGCCATTTAGAGTCACGTGATTATAACATAAGCAACTATCTATGAGAGTAACATAGCTGTACAATAAGTAACTCCATGTTCTCTCAGAGGGCAGTGAGGCGCTGGCACAGCTGCCCAGAGAAGCCGTGCTTGCTGCCCCGTCCCTGGGTGCACCTGAGCTGCGGGCAGCCCTGCCTACAGCACGATGCAGGGGCTGGGCGGGTTTTCAGCTCCCTTCCGACCCAAGCCGTTCCGCGATTCTACGGCAACGCATCAACTCCCGCTTATTCTACACGCTAGAAGGAAAGGTTTTCTCTGACGGTATTTTGCCGCCGAAGACGCACTCGGTTAAAGCTCCGGTTAACGCTCCCATCCCACAAGGGCCGGGAGCAACCCCGAGGCCGCCCGCCCAGCCCTCACCCGGCTCTGCCCCGCAGCCGAGCTCCGCGGCCATGCCGTCACGCCAAAGCTCCGCCGCCCTCC